CAGCCATGTGACTGGGTGGGCATGGCCAACTTGTAAAATGTGGTGAGACTCACTTAATAACGCTCTTGCTTAGCAATTAAAATGTTGGCTCAGAAACTCTGACATTTGAAGCACGCAAGTCTTCAAGCTGTCAAGTTACAAGACCCTTGCACCTCTACCCTTTAGGGAAAAAAAACCCAGGAGTGTTCAAACTTGACAGCTTTAAGACTTGTGGACTTCAACTCCCAGAATTCCTCCTCTCGCTCTTCATCTTGGTGATGTGCGGACGGACGGGGGAGAGGGAGCTGGAATCGGTTCTAAACAGCACTGTAGATTTGTGGAGCCTTTTCTATAGAAGAGGTTAGAACTGGCAGGAACCCAGCCCTGCGTCTGACCATTGCAGCATCTCCATTGTCATGTGATCAAAATTCGGACGCTTGGAAGCAACCGTGTATGTAGGACTGTTGCGGTGTCCCTGGATCATGTGATCACTTTTTGCGATCTTCTGACAAGCAAAGTCAATAACGGAGCCATATTTACTTAACAACCAGGATACTAACTTAACTGCAGTGAATCACTTAACTGTTACAGCAAAAGTCATAAAATAGCACAAAACTCACTTAACAAGTGACTTGCTTAGCAACAGAAAATTTGGGCTTAATTGTGGCCATGAGTCAAAGACTACCTATAATAGAATGCCACTTTAAAACAGATATGCGACTCATAATACCCAAGACTCAAAGCAACCTTCATGTCTTGAAGATCAAAGTTGCGAACAAGACACTTCTTTTGAATAGTGTGTCATCCTAAGGAACTCACACAAACTTTGGGGAAGTAAATATACCAAGAAACTGGAAGTATCTATGTGTAAATTTTGAACAGTATTTTCTGATGCTTCTAAGAAGGCTTATATTATACCATATGTTCCTGATTTGCTGTCATGATCCCTGGAGATTGTACACAGATCAGGGATGTAAAATGCAGGAAGCACGTCTTATCTTAAAAACAATAAATAACAGCAAAATAGGTATTTATTTTTCAGAAGTAAAGAGCAATTTTTTTTTCTACCACTGCTTTGTTTAATTCTTGTTTAAAACAATCTGTTACGTTATGAGCATGACTTTTGAGAAAAAATTATTTTTAACGATATACTAAAACAAGATATTCTTTATCTTCAAGGCTTCCAGTATTGAGAACAAACAAGACTGGATCAAACATATCAGAGAAGTAATACAGGAAAGAACAATTCATCTCAAAGGGGCCTTAAAAGAGCCTATTCACATTCCTAAAACTGCATCAACTACAAAACAAAAGGGAAGAAGGTTAGTAGAAATCCGCTCTATTCAGTGGTAGGATTCAAATAATTTAACAACCGGTTCTTTGCCCTAATGACCAGCTGGGTAGGCGTGGCTCGGTGGTCATGTGACTGGATGGGCGTGGCCAACTCAACATCACTCACATCAATGGGCGCTTCGCCTTTGCTGTTACTATGTNACATACATACATACATACATACATACATACATACATACATACATATATATAGTTCCCTTTCATGAACAGCCAATCTCTCAAGGAATTATTGATGATGTAAACCTTATACACCTTCACTAAAGAACAACTTCCAAGACAACAACTACATTTCTAAGGTCTTTCCTGGAATAGTGATTTAAAAAAAACTATTATAAGAAAATGAATTAAGTTTTATCACACACCCATGTCTCTTTCTCTCTCTCTCTCTCTCCTTTTCTTCTTCCCTTGAATTCTTCCAACTTGCTTCCTAGGTTTTGATGAGAACATTGAATCTCAGGGAGAACTTATACTTCAGGAATCCTTCCAAGTGTGGGATCCAAAAACTCTCATCCGGAAAGGGCGTGAAAGACATCTCTTTCTTTTTGAGATGTCACTTGTCTTTAGTAAAGAAGTGAAAGACTCTAGTGGAAGAAGTAAATACATTTACAAGAGCAAGTTGTTTGTAAGTTACTATTACACTGAAAAAAAACAAAGCCAAACATAGTTGCAACAACTTATAGTACACTCAGCTATTGGAAAATGGAGTAAAATTGCTCGCAGGTTTTTCTTAAAAGATGTCCAGTTTGTTAAGCCATAAGCATATTATTGAATATAACACTTTTTAACATAACTGCAAAAGAAACTGATAGCTCTTTTGGACACGGAGGAATAGATTCTGAAATATTTTTAAAAATGTTCTCTTAAGCAAGAGAGATACATATTGTAGCATTATTCTTTAATCATGAATCAGATCTGTGGTAAAAAGAATGTTTGAAGGGCGCATATTGCCAGTCATTCCAATTTCCCTGAAAGCTTTTGATTAATACAGTGAAATATGTTTGGTTGGTCCCAAGACAGGATTTGAAATACGGACGAAGTTATTCTTTTGAATCATGTAAGCTAGCCAGGAAATAATAACTGCTTATTACCACACAGCTGCTTATTATGTACTTTAACTTTTGTTGAAACGTTTTTGGTGATTAAGAGGTAACTGATTCTTAAAACCCATTTAAAAACGGGTTTTCGTGTTGCAAAACTTTTCCCATACCAAAAACTAATCCTCCTTCCTTTAATTTTCAGACTTCTGAGCTGGGTGTCACAGAGCATGTAGAAGGAGATCCCTGTAAATTTGCACTGTGGGTTGGAAGAACTCCTACGTCAGACAATAAAATTGTGCTAAAGGTATTTGGTATAATTCTAAACAGAGTGGGCAATCTCTCTCAAGCAGTTCAACATTTTGACATGAGCATTATTGTTTTTTTTTTCATAATTTGGAGGCTATTTTGAAGAAATAAACAAAGAAACTGCCACTGAAAACTGTCCATTTTAAAACTGAATTGTATTGATACAATCTCAGAATGCTGGAAGCTACTTATAGCCTGAATGCTGAGGGATCCCATGCCTGATGTTAAGTGTCTTTTGGTTTATAGGTAGTCCTTGACTTACAAATATTCATTAAGTGACCATTCGAAGTTACAGTGGCACTAAAAAAAATGCCATCTGACCAGTGGTGGGTTTCAAATCTTTTTAGGACCTCTTCTGTAGGTGTGGCCTGCTTTGTGGGAGTGGCTTGCCAGCCGTGTGACCGAGTGGGAGTGGCTTGACAGTCATGTGACTGGGTGGGCATGGCCAACTTGTAAAATGTGGTGAAACTCGCTTAACAACGCTCTTGCTTGGCAACCAAAATGTTGGCTCAGAAATTCTGTCATTTGAAGCACGCAAGTCTTAAAGCTGTCAAGTTACAAGACCCTTGCACCCCTAACCCTTTAGGGAAAAAAAACCCAGGAGTGTTCAAACTTGACAGCTTTAAGACTTATGGACTTCAACTCCCAGAATTCTCCTCTCGCTCTTCATATTGATGATGTGCGGACGGGTGGGGTGAGGGAGCTGGAACCGGTTCTAAACGGCACTGTAGATTTGTAGAACCTCTTCTATAGAAGAG